TCTCTCTCTCTCTCTCTCTCTCTCTCTCTCTCTCTCTCTCTCTCTCTTCTGTTTTTGTAGGGGTTGGCTTTCCAGCTGTTTGTTGGACTGAATGCCTTATAACAACCCTCTGAGGCAGATGGCACAAGTACTGCCATCCCCACTTTACAGATGAGTAGACAGAGTCTTGGAGGTGAACCGGCTTGCCCGTGGTCACACAGCTAGTGTCAGAGCTGGGATGTGAACCTGGCTCTTAGAGCTCTTGGGTCACTCACACTCCTTTCGCTGTACTGTCTCATTTCCTCATGCCTGAAATAAGGGATGGGGCTGAACCTAGGATTTCACTGCTACAGGGAATTCCCAGATGAGGAATCTCCCTGCACCTACGAAAGTCAGCATCTTCTCTGCAATTTATAGTCTTGAGAAAGTTGCCTAGCATGGTAAGAGGTTAAGTGACTTCCCTAAGGTCACAGAGCCAGCATATGTCACAGGCAGGACCTGAACCCAGGGCTTCCAGCTTTCTCTCCTCCAAGGCATGCTCTCTCTACTTGGAATGACCTTCAAGTAAAAAGCCAACCCAATTCAACCCCTGTGGCCCATGCTCTTTGATCCTATCTTCAAAAGAAATGGATACTGGGCACAAAATGGGTTAAAAGCTAGTCTCCCCTTGGACAATCATACCACGTGCCACAAATTTACACTGTCAAAACTACTCCTTCCTCACACCTCCTTGCATGCCTTGGATCGCTACTGAGGCCAGCTAAGCTAGATGGGTGCCACACCCATTCTGCAGAAGTGAATGACCAACACTGCATCAGGAAGTCATGAGTCACTGGTTCTCCCTGCTTTGTCAGTTATTCACTGTGTAATCTTTGAGCAAATGATCTCACCTCTTAGTAATTCTCATTTTACACATAAGGAAACTACCTCACTAGGTTGTTAGAGGATTGCAGAACACTCACATTAGAAGGGACTAGAGAGAGCAAACCCCACCTCTGCAGTTTTACAGATGGGAAACTGGGGCCCAGACCCCGGGAAGGGACTTGCCCAAGGTCACGTGAGTAATACACGACAGAGCTGGGATGCAAATCCATGTTCCGACTCTACAGTCCAATGTTCTTTCCGTTAAGAGAATCCAGCGAGAAAATGGAGACAACAATAACCACCAACCACTATGGGAAAGGGCCAGACTAGAAACATCAGCGCCACGTGGTAGAAATGGGGGAGGGGATGACGGCAAAGATATTTGTTTGAAAAAAATTCTCTTCTCACAGAGCTATCTAATGTATGTCAAGCTCCACGGGATTGATCCAAAGATAGCCCCAATCCATCCCCTAGGTTTGATGAATAACCAAAATGCTATGATCAACGACATATTAGGGTAACAGACCTAGAGCAAGAAGGGTCCTTAGAGGCCATCTGGGCCAAACTCTCTTCATGTTAGAGAAGGAAACTGAGGGCTAGAGGGGGCAGGCGATTAGTCCAGGAGTGGGGAACCACCTGTGGCCTTCTAGATCCTTAAGTGCAGCCTTTTGCCATTCAGTCCAAGCTCATACATGGGATCCCAGATTTAGAGAACTCAAAGTCATCTAGTCCAACTGCCTTATTTTATAGAGAGGGTGATGCTGAGGCCCAGAGACAACAAAAAATACAGTTAGAATTCGAACCCAGGTCCTCTGACTCCATCTCTAGCACTTTTTCCCCTACACCATGCAGGATTCTTTTTTCAGGTACTTCAGTCTTAGCTTGAAGGGAACCGCTAAGTAAATCCAGGTCACTACTTAACCAACTTACATGCTTACTCATCCAAAATTAGCCCCTGGAATATGCAGAATACCACATTCCCTTATCACCCCTCTTCAATTCCAACCCAGAAGAAATTCTCTGTGTGGCATCCTGATGGATGGCTCTTGTCAGCTAACCTGGAATTCAGAGGTCATAAAGGGTGCATTTCCAGGAGCAGCATTTTTTAAAGAGGTGATAACAAATAAAAGAGAATTTCAGCTTGTATCACTGAGGGATCCCATAAAGTGATAGTCCAAACCTAGGGAAAGATTGCTTGTTGTGAACCTGCCATTGCCTTGGAGGAGAGAAAAATGCCTTTGATATGCCAGAGAAGGGTGACTTTTGTAAACAAGTGGAGTACAAGCAAAACAAGTTCATCATTGTCAGGGTGCTGGGGCTTTCCCATCCATAAAGTTCCCAGCGGAGCTGGGAAATCATCACTGCCTTTAAAGAAAAATACGACCAATACACAGACAGGCAAATGTACAAAATACATCTTAAAAAAACCCAGAAACCACACTCCATCTAATTTTGTCCTCATTCCCCTACAGGCAAGGAACCCCTGCTGTCCCCCCACCCCCAACCCCTGATCACTAATGTGTTTGTGAAAAGTTAACACCAACAAACTCCAATTCTTCTGGCTGCTTGGTGTCTTTATAAGCTCGGGGCTGGCTAGGCCATACACAAGAGCATGGGAATGTAGGGCAAAGGGGGGGCCGCCTTTGTTGCTGCCGGTGCCATAGTGTTGCACGGATCACAGCTAAGGAATGCAGGGCCCTGTTTTGGCCGAGAGAGAGAGGGAGAGTGAGAGGAGAGAAGAGTTGCATGTGTTGGCTTCCTGCTGAGCTGCCAAAATTGGCCATAAAATACCCAGGGGGCTAATCATGGGCAATTGATGGCAGCTCACCAGTGTGGGCCACAGATATGGCCAAGTGGGTGCCAGCAAAAGTGGAATGAGAGTTTTTAAAGGAAAACAACACTTATTTGGGCTTCAGGGTTTAAAAAATGTTATTATTATTATTATTTGCGGGATATCTGACTGGCTCCTGCCTCCTGCTAGCATTTGGCTGGTGTTCCTGCCAGCAATCTTAACAGTAAATTCCCTCTGGCAGCAACATTTGACATTAATAAGGCTGGCTACAATTCAAGATAATGTTAACACAGCTCTAGTATGTGGCAAAGAAGCTGCACCTAGGTGCAATTTCCAATTTTCTTGAAACTGACTTTTTTCTTGGTGGGGGGGGAGTGGCAGGGAAGACATGGAAGGAGAAGGGGTGGGTTGTTTTTAAACTCCAGCATGCCAACTGATATCTTCTAAAAATGACCACAAGGTCATAGAATCATAGATTTGGAGCTGGGAGGGCCCTTGGAGGGCTCATCATCCAATTACTTCATTTTCCAGATAAGAACTGAAACCTTTAGAGATGAAGTGATTTGACCAAGGTCACAAAGTAAACAGCAAGGAGTAGCATTTGAACTCGGGTCTTTGGACTCCAAAAGTCCAAGCTCTTACCACTGCACCACATTGGTTCAGGTCACAAGGTCTTGAGCTGGAGAAGGCCCTTGGAGACTCCTGAATCCAACTTCTTCATCTGACAGAGGAAACCCAGGCCCATGGACACAAACTAATTGGCCCAGGGTCGAATGGGTTGGAATTCCAGCAGAGCCAGCCTCTAGACCCAGACCCTGCCCCTCGATGGCCAATGCTCTCTCTACTATGCCAGTCTGACTCTCTGGTTTTTTTTGAAGTTGTTAAGTATTTACCACTTTCTCTTTGCTAGCAGCCGGTGGGGGTGGGGCAGTAGTGGTGGGCCTAGGATTTAGTTTTGTTCTGCTTGGCCCCCAAAGGGCAGAATCGGGAGCTCTGGGTAAACAACACAGAAAAGTAGATTGAGGTTTGTTGTCAGGAAAACCCTCCTCTCTCTCGGTTGGAGCTGTCCAGAAGTGGAAAGGGCTGCCGTGGGGTACAGTGGGGTACCCAGACAATTTAGCTGCCTTCTCAAACGACTTCCAACCCTGAGGCTGCCATAATGAAGAAATGTGAGGGTAGCAAACTATTTTCTAAACGGTTTTCAAAACTTAGCAGGAATTTAATCCTTTCTCAGAGAGAGAACTGTTTATGAATGTGGAATAATCAATATATTAGATGTTAGGGCCCACATGGACAAACTGGCCCATTTGCAAATTGGCCTGCTAATCTGGAGATAAGCAGGTTTCTTCTTAGGACCAATAAATTTTTTTTTTTGAAGGTGGGAGGCCTTTACTTCTCATTTCATCAGCATGGGGAAGTGCCAGTGTGGCGACTCGGTCTGTGCAGGTTGGCAACTTATCTGTAACATATGTTTTAGATGGGTGCCTGAGGGGGATCTAAGAAATTAAGTGGCTTGCCCATGCTTACACAGCTTGAGTGTGTGTGAGACAGAGAGAGAGACAAAGACATGGAGAGAGAGCGAGGTCAGGACTTAAATCCAGGTCTTTGAGGCTGGCCCCATATGCCTGATGCTGCACTGCCTTGTAAGCATTATTAATCCCATATCACAATCACTGTGATTTTCTTTTTGTCTTTGCCTCTGATTTCCTTGCCGTGGAACACTCGCATCCCTCCAAATAGACAGATTAGTAACTGGTCCGTAACTGATAGTCTCAGAGAATCAATGTACTGAAGAGCGACAAATATCCATGTAATCACACATGTGCCACCAAAGCCTAAACAGCTCCCTCCCTTCCTCGCCCCTCCCCCCCACCAAATCCTGCTGTAGGCATTTACTAGCTCTGTGACAGTGAGTCCATTAACTTCTCTGAGCCTTTGTCTCCTCATTTGTAAAATGGGGAGAATAATAGCATCTCGCTCTTTTATTAGCTGTATAACCATGAGCTAGTCAGCGAAACTCTTTCAGCCTCAGTTTCCTCCTTTGTAAAACAGAACCTCTCTCACAGGGCCATTGTTGGCTTGAATGAAGCTAAGTCCTATAAAGTGCTTTGCAGACCTTCAAGTGCTAGAAAAATGTGAGCTAATATGATTTTGTTCTCATTCTTCTCATTTTGGGGGGATGGATTTCAGGTAGAAAAAGCCCTAGGATGAGTCGATAATCTGCTTGTCTGATGGGGAGGGAAGGGTGGGGGGAGGTAATAGAAGCTCTAGCCCAGGGTCCAGTCCATGGAACTTGGAAAGAAAAAAAAATTATATCTTTAATTCAGCATAATTGGTTTCCTTTCTAATCCTGTGCATGTTATTTTATGCATTTAAAAACCTGATTCTGTGGGGGCAGCTAGGTGGCAGCACCAGCCCTGGAGTCAGGAGTTCAAATCTGGCCTCAGCCGCATAACACTTACTAGCTGTTTGACCCTGGGCAAGTCACTTAACCCCATTGTCCAACTGAAAAACAAAACAACAACAACAAAAACAAACAAACAAAAACCTGATTCTGCTAGGTGGCAGTAGTGGGCGCAGGCCCTGGAGTCAGGAGGACCTCAGGTCAAATTCAGCCTCAGACACATAACACTCACTAGCTCTGTGACCCCAGGCAAGTCACTTAACCCTACTGCCTAGCCAAAAAAAACAAACCAAAACAAAAAACCCTGATTCTGAGAAGGGGTCTGACTGCCCAAGGGGTCCAGGACCCACAAAAAAAAAGGTACAGGGGTGTGGCCCTCTAGGCAAAAGGCTGCACTTGAGGACTTAAAGGGCCAAGTGTGGCCTTGAGGCTGCAGGTTCCCCACCTCTGGTAAGAGCTCTCCAATGCAGAGGATACCGATGATTTCTGTTGGGTCTTTTCCATTCATTTATCCCAGGCATAGAGGGTTTACAATCTGTTCTAGCTCTTCACAAGCCTTTCTGTATAGCAAAAAAAAGTTTTCCCTGGACACCAGCACAAACACGTATCTTTCTCAGGAAGGCAAGTGGTTTTTTTTGCATGGTGCCTCTCATCATTAGAAACCCCCATCTTCTCCAGCCTCTCTGTCTGAGTGGAAGAACAAAAGGCTGTGGGCCAACTTAACCCCACAATCCACTTTCAATTAGAGGAAAAACAGCTCTTGACCATCCATTAACGGCCAAATAATAACTTGTAAAGAGAGAGAGGCCTGAGAGGAGGAACGTGGAAATTGCGACTAAATTCTACAACCCTGGACCAGATTAATTAAAACCTGGTGAAATTTTCATTTAATAAAAGGCACTAGAGATGAATGCCATTGATTTCGCCTGGTCTTTGACTTTGGCCGATTTGAAATAAAGCACATTACGCCCATTAAATGGGAGTGAATTTGAAATACAATCAAACACCTCAGACGTTGAGATAAAACCACTGAAAATAACCGAAGAAAATGGTCAGAGAAGTCTGTAATTTCCCATGTGGGTTTAATTTTCGTTCTTAAAAGGAACTTCCTAAGATTTATTTTAACAAAGCAAAACAAGAAATTCCTCCCTTGGTGGTGATGAACATTTTGGATCCACTTGACTGGTAGAAAATTCTAATGATGGATCCTGGAGGATGCTCTGGACCTGGAGGCAGTATGGGGCATGGGGAAGAGCCTTGACTGGACTACCAGTCTGCCCCTTACTAGTCAAGTGATATTGGGCCTGTCACCCAAACTCTCTGGCCCTCCAGTGTCCTCCTCTGTAAAATGAAGAGGTTGGACTGTATGGCCTTTGAGGTCCCTTCCAAGTGACTTCCCTTCCCTGGGCCTCAGTTTCCCCCTCTGTAAAATGAAGAGGTTGGACTGTATAGCCTCTGAGGTCCCTTCCGGCTTTAGATGTAGTATCTTGTGTGTGACCTTGGGCAAGTGACTTCCCTTCCCTGGGCCTCAGTTTCCTTTTCTATGAAATGAAAGGTTAATTTTTTTTTTTTGTAACCTTTGTCTGAAATTGCCCTGGATTGGGTATTGTTCACCCTGTGGCCTCCATAGCCTTTTGATTTTCAGGTCCCTGCTCCTTTTGCTTGGTGCTCAACACGGGCAACAGCTCTGCTGAAATCACATCTTCCAAGTCCCCTCTCCTGTTCCCAAGGCCAACTCCCACCCAAAGCAGGAATCCTATCTCTTGGAGCTAATTTATTGATATACTTTCAAAAAGAGTTAATATGATAGGTAGCTTCTGGAAAGACTAAAGGCCTCCTTTACTCCGCCTCACTCTCTCTGGCCCAAGACCAACTAACAAATTGTATGCCCGTTCCCATCGTGTGCACCACTAAGCAAAGACTTACAAAGTAAGGCAGATTCTACAATTAAACCAACGTGACTTGAGGGAGGGAGTAAATAGGAGGGAGTTTTGTTGCTTTGAATTAAAGAATCCTAGAATTTGAGTTGGAAGGAGCCTCTGTGGCCCCTTAGTTCAACCCAGACTCAAAAGGAACACACACTAAAACATACCCAGTTGCAGAGGAAGACAGCACAAGACCATTAGACTTAAGCTGGAAGGGATCTCCAAGGTCATACAGTCCAACCCTCTCATTTTACAGAGGAAGAAACTGAGGCTTAGGCAGGTAAGTCACAGTGTTTGTAAGAGGCAGAGGCCTGTGATTTCACTGGTGTAGGGAATACCCATCATGGAAACACCCTTCACAAATGCAGATCAGAAAGACCACGTAACATATTCTTAGAGCCTTGTTTGTCCAGGACACTGAGAAGCCTAGAGGCTACAAAAATCATGGCTTTAGATCTGGATGGGAGCCTAGAGACCATCTATTCCAACCCTTTCATTTTACAGAGGAGAAAACTGAGGCCCATTTTTTGACTCCAAACCCTGCATTCTTTACATTAAATTCTATCACCTCACTTGGACTGTGCATACCTAAATTATAGACTCATAATGTCAGTGATGGAAGGCCTCATAGAGAACATCCAGTGCCACCCCTTTTCCAGATGGGGAAACTGAAGCCGAGAGAGGGTAAGGGAGTTGTTCAAGGTCATGCAGGAGACTAGAACCCAGGTCTCCTGAGACCAAACATAAAACATGTAAAGTCAGCACTCAGAAAAATAGTTTTTGGGGCAGCTAGGTGGCACAGTGGATAGGGTACTGGCCCTGGAGTCAGGAGGACCTGAGTTCAAATTGAGCCTCAGACACTTACTAGCTGTGTGACCCTAGGCAAGTCACTTAACCCCAATTGCTTTTGATGATGAAACATCATTGCTTCCTTTTGATGGGGCTCTGCAGTTACGGCATAATACTGTACTTTCAAATCTGATCACCTCATCCCTCAGGAAAGCTGTCCTCCAATTTCCATAGTCCAAGATTCAGGACTAAAAAGGGACTTTAACAAGGGACATTTTAAAATTCAAAGTTAGTAGAGTTGGCATCATCTTTCCTTCTTTTTTTCCATCTCTGTTCATTTAAGTGATCACTTTTGGTAGGAATGGGGTAAATGTAGGCATGGTTGGCATCACCTGTCACTATAGCATTCCTGGGGGCCAGTTCAGCACCATCCACAAGGCAAGCCTATACGCGGCCATATTCTTACCTATGAAATTGTTCCACTCCGAGTCCAGATCTCCTTGGTTGGCCAAACAGCCTCTCATGACATTGGAACAGTAGTTAGAACAAGGCTTCACGGTCACCAGGCCTCGGCAGTGGGAACAGTAGGTCATTTTCAGGAGGGCATGTGAACAGGAAGTTGTGGGATTGACCTTATGAATGAGAGAGGGGAAGGAAAAAAAAAATCACACAGTTGTGTTAAAATCTAACTAGCCAAGAGAGGAAAAGCATGTTTTCATTCATTGATAATTTCTTTCGCATCAATACCTAAGAAACATTCCTCTCCCCTTGGCCCTAGATTGAGATGTCATAGAGTGCCTAGCGCACAGTAGATAGTTAATAAATATTTGATTCACTGATTAGCTTTGGAGTCAAGAAGACCAGAGTTCAAATCCTGCCTCTGACACTAGCTGGGTCATCATGGGCACGTCATCTTTACCACTCTAAAGCTCAGTTTCTACATCTGGAATCAGTGGGTCATACTAGATCACTAAGATCACTATACCAAGATCACTGTCAGCTCTAACTCTGTGATTCCCAGGAGGGTTTTGTAGGTGTGGTGACTTACACACGGTAGGTGTTTAATGTTGAGGTGAGTTGAAATGCAGCTGTCTAAAACTGAAATGGATTACCTCAGTTGGTCTCCAAATGGAGGCTGGATTACTTCTTAGAGAAACTTCCTGTTCTGATATGGGTTGAAAAGTTGAAATAGATACCCATGGTAGTCCCTTCCAATGCCATGATGCTGACTATCTAACCCAATGCAAACAAATAGCTATTAAGATGCTATTATGAACAAGGAATGTCCTGTGCTTAGCTCACAATCTTACATTTTGTTGTGGAGGGGGAGGGGTGATACATGTCTTCAAATAACTATGACCCAATGGAGAAGTAATGAGTCAAAGGAGGAATCCAGACTAAACGGGCGAGGGGCGGGGAAGAATCAGGGAAGGAGTAGATCAGTGAGGGGCTGGGGGGTGGGGCGGAGTGGAGACTTCCTAGAGGAGGTAGCACCTGAGTTAATCTTTGAAGAAAATAAGAAAGACGTCAGTGTATGGAGACTGAGAAATTGTTGGGGGTGGGCTGGGGCTGTTTGGCTCTTCCAGATGTGGAATATCTTCAAGGAATGGAAGAAAGCACTGAGACTTGAGACAGCACGGGACTGAGTCTATTTGGGAAGGAGGCAAATGTAATACCGGGTGCTTGGTCTTCACATTTGTTTAGAAGGAAGAGGGAAAAAAATCAAGGACCTCAACTTTTGAACAAATTGAGGATTACCATGCTTGCAACCTCCAATCAAAGAATCCTGGAGCTGAAAGGGGCTTGGAGGTCACTTGAGCTCCCCGCCCACAGCCCTTTCCTTAGACTTCCTAAAGCCTAGAATGTACTCCTCTCTGTTTTGTTTCAATGTAGGAAAAAGGAGAACATTCCAACCCCGGGGGGAAAACCTCTGCCCTCCACAGTCAGCCAGATAACCTCACTGTTCACCCCTCTTTCTAAGTAGCTACAGAATAACTAAGCCCTGCTGGGACAGTCTCTCCTCCTTGTCCTCAAAGGGGATGTGTAGGAAACCCAGAGAAGGGCATTTGTTATCAGGGAGGTGGGAGGATTGGGGAAATTCCTTTTGCCCACTGATCGGCCAGAATTCAACCTGTGAGGGCAGAGTCCGAACTCTCGGGAGGCCCCTGCTCCTCCCCAAGCCAGTCAAAATTAAGTAACTGCTTCCATTTCAAACTTCTTTTCATCCTTTAGCCTTCACTCTGCCCCAAGCCCATTTGCATATTTTGAAAGAATTTTCAAGTGCCTCGTGGAAAAGAAAAAAAAAAGGGCCACCGTTCACCAGGCCTGAGAGGCCGACCATTGTGGGAGAAATCAGCGCAGACTGGTATGTGTCACTGCCACTAAAGTCCTTGAATCGGCCTTCTGGCAAAAGGCCAGTGCCCACTCTAGACCAATTGTGGATCTGTCAGTGTGATGTACCAAACGCTGGGGCCCAGAGCCTCTCAAGTGCTCCCCAGCCCTACCAGGTGCAGACCCTTAAAGGACAATTGCATGTCACAGTAAACTAAGTTCTCCTTTGTCCTGGGCCTTTGTTTATCTTGGAAAGAACTCCAAGTTCATTCAAATTCTCTCCCACACTGACCCTCCAAACCAAATACTCCTCTTTCCAATCAGCCTGAGAGTCCCAGAGAGGGTCTTTCTTTGGCCCTGAGGATTTATTCCGGGAGATTCAAGTCCCAGAAGTATATATATTGTAGCAGAGGCCTTTGGTGAGCTTGACAAAGGGGTAAATGGATTCAGAGTCCTTCCTTTTATGTGTTGAAATGTACTTACTTTCTCTGACCGGCCATGCCACTTAGACTGATCAGTCGCTTGCTATGTGGTTTTATCAAGTAAGTTACCATTGGGCACAGGTCCATGGGCCTGGAGAAATGTGAGAACCAGAGGCTGTGCATACCCGGGCCCTCCACCCGACATTAACTTCCTAACAATTCCCATACATACAAATGGGTAATTAGGAAGCACTGTTAGATTTTCTTTCTTTCTTTCCTTGGGGTGTGGGGGAAGTATCAGGGCCTGTGATTTCATTGGTGTAGAGAATACCCATCATGAAAACACCCTTCACAAATGCAGATCAGAAAGACCACGTAACATATTCTTAGAGCCTTGTTTGTCCAGGACACTGAGAAGCCTAGAGGCTACAAAAATCATGGCTTTAGATCTGGATGGGAGCCTAGAGACCATCTATTCCAACCCCTTCATTTTGCAGAGGAGAAAACTGAGGCCCAGAGAGGGGAAGTCACTTGCTTAAAATCCCATGGGTTTTAAGTATCCCAGGTGAGATCTGAACCCAGATTATCTAACAACTGAGTCAATGCTCTTTCTACTGCCTTTCTCATCGGTGGGCCTATAGCTAGAATGTATCAGAGACAAGATTTGAACCCATATGACTCCAAGGCTGGCTTATTATGCCACACTGTCGCTCGTATTTTCTTTAGTGCCAGCAAAAAATGCACTAACCTGGCGTCTTATGGTAGCAGGAGCCAAATCTTGCAGTATGGGATTGGTGGGGGACAAAAGTAGCCAATAATGGTTCTCTTAAATGTTTGAGTGTGGATATGATCTTCTGGTTAAGCAAGAGGTCACTCATTTCTCCAACTAAGAGACTGGTACTCTTCCTACTCCTCTCTGCTGCTCTACCCACAGATCCACGGCCCTCTCAGCCTTAGCAGCTGCTTTCTTTAAGTTGCTGCGGCCTACTGGCCACTCCTAGTGTCCCCAGACTTAGCAAGGTTGGCCCTCCAATAACGGTGGCACAAACCTTGAATTCTCTCTCCAGCTTGGAGGGAAAATTCCAAAGTTCTGCTCCACTGGCAGAGCTTTCACGCCACAGAGTGCTTCATCCCACGATAAGCCATCAGACTAGGACTTCGGTACAGAATTAATATTTCAAGGATCATCAATTGCTTTCCAAAACAGTCCCAAACAGACATATCCCTCCTGCCTCACTGTCCTTCTATAAACTTCTCATGCAAGGCCCAACTTAAGTGTTACACATCAGTTCCTTATCATTTTATCTCTTCGTTTTGGTCCCTGAGAAGAAGCTACTAAAGTTCACTCTCATATCTGCATGCATTTTTCAATATGATTCAAAAGACTTCTGTCTCATGGAGGTGGTAGAACCTGGGCCTTGGTTGAATGATGGGTATGCTACAAAGGTGCCAAGGCCAGAAGAAGCACCGAGGATGAGAGCTAAAGACGGAAGCCAGTAACTTAAGAGAGCAGAACAAGAAAGAGATTTGGTTGGACAGGAAGGTCCAGACTCTGGCGGGCATTCCAGGGTCAGAGTTTTTACTTGGTTCACTAAGAAGGAGGCACACAGAATGCAGGATCTTAGGAAGCAATAATATAGTATACCACTGGTAGAATGGGCAGGGGGAATGAGGCAGTTCCACCAATCTAGGCCTGAAGTGACAGATCATGGTGATGGCAGAAAGAATGAAGATGACCTGGTGAATCTAGGAGGTACTCCAGAGAAACAATGAGACAGTACAGAGAAGTTAGGGAACAGATGTGTAGGACACCAATAGATGAAGACAAGAGCATGGGATAACAGAAAGGGCACTAGATTTAGAGTTGACCAGCTGTGCTACTTTGCTGGGTCACTTAACTTGTCTAGGCCTTAGTTTCAAGTTTTCTCCTCTGGAAAATGAATGGGTTGGATCAGAGCATCACAGACCTACAAATGGAAGGGATCTCAGAGGTCTCATTTTACAAAAGGGAAAACTGAGGCTAAGGGTAAGGTTAGGTGAAAGGACTTGCCCAAGGTCATTGTGTTCTTTCAGCTCTACTGTGCTGAGTCAATCCCCAATTTCTTTGCAAGGATCAAGTGAGAAACTCTTTGCAGATCTGCAAAGCACCTGTGTAACTATTATTCTGGCCATGTTGTGATCCAAAGAGTCAGAGGACTCTAGCTCTGGAAGCCTGGAGGAGAGTGGAGTTGATGAAATAAAGAAATTCGAAGGGGAAACCACCTGGGTCCAGGAGGAGGAAAGCAGGGGAGATTTTGACGAGCATAGTTTGGGACATTCAAGTGGATATGTCCAGGAGTCCCAGGGAAAAGTGAACCCAGATCCTCCGACTCTGAATTCAGTGACCCCTCCCACTATCCCTCACTTATTTCCTGGTTCTCGCTGTGTTCCAGATAGCTGAGGTTACCAGATAAACAAGCCTGACCATATTAAGGACATCTGAAATATTTAATTTGCTCTCGATCATTAATTAACTAGAGAACCAGATTGTGAAATGGGGGAGGGGGGAGGAGTATGGAGGGGACAGGAATGGGGATAGCCTATCAGTAGTTAATATGAATCTTGTTTTCCTAGATTAGGGTGATTAAAAAAACATGACAAGTCATGAAAAACTGAACGCCTCACTTCCGTTCCCTAAAGTGGGCACAGCAGATGGGTCACTTAGAGCTGTGCTGAGGGTCAGGGCACAGTGTGCAGGTGTTTGGGTGTTTTTTTAAACATCCTCACTGTCTATTGGATCCCAGATGCCATAGAGGTTGTTGTTCAGTCATTTCAGTCATGTCTGACTCTATCACTCCATTTGGGGTTTTCTTCGCAAAGATACTGAGTGGTTTGCCATTTCCTTCCTCTAGTTCATTTTACAGATGAGGAAACTGAGGCAAACAGGATGAAGTGACTTGCCCAGGGTCACACTAGTAAGAGTCTGAGGACAGATTTGAACTCAGGTCCTCCCAACTCTAGGCCCAATACTCTAGTCACTGGACCACCTAGCTGCCCCAGCATAGAAGTTAGGGTACTCGATTTGTAGTCATGGAGACCTGGGTTCGAATTCTGCCGCAGATACTTACTAGTGATGTGTTTCTAGGCAAGTCACTTCACCAAACTGTGCCTCAGTTTCCTCATGGGTAAAATGAGGACGTTGCAGTTGATGACCTCTAAGGTCCCTTCGAGCTCTGCATTCGTGATCCTGTGAGTCAGTGCGTTCCTCTAGGATAGCTGTTCCCAAACTATCAGCCATGACCAACGGGCTGGACCACAGGCTGCTGGCTGTTTCCATCTTCTCTGTTTCCTGAGGCCCAGTGAGGTGCAAGGAGGGATGCACCCTGTCATTTTCCCATATCTTTCAACCTCCCCCCTTAACATTCCCATTGTCCTTGCCCATGAAGAGCTCTCAGATGGTCGCAAAACCTCAGTTGCCCAGAGTCAAGTGTCTGCCTGCTATCACCACCAAGACAAGGGCTCCTGCTGTAGACCCAGCTTAATCCAGTTCCACCAGGCCAGATTCAAGTGACAGGCTACTCTGTGACAGGCTCACGGAGACACAACCACAAAACCCACAGTCCCTGCCCACAAGGGGCTTGCTTTTGACCGTGAGGAAACAAGTACACAGATGAATGAAATGTAAACTATAAGGTGACTAGCTAGGTGGCACTGCAGTGGATAGAGTGCCAGGCCTGGAGTTAGGAAGACTCAGCTTCCTGAGTTCAAGTCTGGCCTTAGACACTTACTAGCTAGGTGACCCTGGGCAAGTCACTTCACCCTGTCTGCCTCAGTTTCTTCATCTGTAAAATGAGCTGGAGAAGGAAATGGCAAACCACTCCAGTGTCTCTGCCAAGAAAACCCCCAATGGGGTCACGAAGAGCTGGACATGACTAAAAACAACCGAACAATAAAAATGCAAGGTAATATGGGGTGGAGGGGGAGGGAGCTTGAGCTGAGCCTTGAAGGGAGCCAGGGGATCTTCTAAGTCCATGGCTGGAGCTCAAAACCTGATCACTAGGGTTTGAATGAGAAAAGGTTTGAAACCAAGCCTGCTGGCTCCAAAGGCAGCCAGAACTAGGGCCCGCACAGAGCACGCTTTGCCGAACCAGGCGAGGACCACGAGAGCCAAGCTCCATCACGGTGAGCTCTTCCAATGAAAACTGTTCTGTGGGATGAGAAACTGGAAGAAACACATTTCCAATTTGTAGCCTAGATTCCAAAGTGTAAGGATCAGTTCCGTTTCTCTCAGCTGTGCTATTCAACGCACGTCTTTTTTGCAGAGGCAACCAGAAGACAATTTGTATTGGCAAGGGCTGAAATCACCCATGGATGGAGGCCCAGCAGCAATGGCGATCGCTAGGGGAAGTAACTGAAAACCTTTGAGCAAGGCTCAGGTCCCTAGGGGCATACATGCTATGGGCATGGAAAAAAGCATTGGGGTACAGTGGGAAGAGACCTAGATTTGGAGGAACGAGGACCAGAGAGGAAAAGCCAGCTCTGTCACTACTTGTGTGACCTTGTGCAGCAAACCCCTTCCTTTTCCTGGCCTTTGGTTTCCTCTTCTGTATAGTAAGATTAGACTCAATCAACCTGAAGCTTCCTTCCAGCCTGACATCCATGGATGCCCTGGAACAGAATTTGACAATAAAGATGACAAGAAATAGATTCATTAGATGGATAGCTCATCAAGCTAGGAAGAAAAGAGATGGCAAACCAAAATGGACTGGAGGATACTCTGAGTTTTTACACATTTCCTACCTTATTCTGAACCAAGTACAAGTCCAAATGAGGCAGTAATTTATTGGGGCAATAGTGATTGAGCTAGGACTCACTGAAAGGCAGTGTTGCTCAATGGAAAGATCAATAGACCTTTCCACCTCTGCCACTTACTATCTCTAGGACCTTCAAAAAACCACTTGCCCGCCCTGGTCCTCAGTTTCCTCATCTGCAAAACAAAGGGTTGATATTAGATGACCTCTGAACTTCCTTCTAGCTCTAGTGTTATGATCCTACATGTTACCTTCGGCAAGTCATTTCCCCTCCCGAGGCTTTAGCGCTCTTCCCAGTAAAACGAGGGAGGGTAGACTAGATGGTCCCTAAGGGCCCTTCCAGTGCTGGAGCTATGATCTTATCGTGTCCTTGGGGAAGACCTTTCATTTTCCTGGGCCTCAGTTTCCTCATCTGTAAAAGGAGGGGGTTAGACTAAATGACCTTTGAAGTCCGTCCTAGCTCTGCATAGATGATCCGGTCCTAGGACTAAGGAGATCTGACCTTGGGTGTCAGTCCATCATCAGCTCGCTGTCTGACGTGGGGCAAGTCCCACCCGGGCCACAGTTCCCTCAAATGTAAAATCAGAAGATGAACTGAAAATATGGTGATTTGGAGGGTACTTCCCAGCTCTGGCTTACTACAATGCCACTCTTTGCTCAAGAAATACATGGGCACAAATTATGATGACATAAATTCTTTCCAAATTTTTTACCTTATGCTCCTGCATAGGAAGCCCCCAATTTAGTGGGTCATGCCACAAGTCTGGGGCTGAGTCAGGGGCTTGGAACTTGGGATGCATTCTCCCAAAGATTCAATGCTATGTGTATGCAGCCTAGCTTGTGGAACCCACAATGCACCAGCCACCTACCATCCATGCAAGCCCAGAGAACACAGCCAGCTACCAGATGTGACGCTGTGTCCGTGGGACAATGCAGGAGAGTTCTCACAACGCTGGCAACACATTTTTCCCTACTCCTGAACTGAGGGAGGATTCTGGCCCCCTCCCCCATCCACAGATAATGATTCCTAGGGCCTGGGATAGGAGATGTCTGACAGAAACAGCACTCTCTGGGGGACCAAACAAAACAGCCAGGGTTCAGGATACATGGACTTTGGTGACCAGTTTGGTGTCTGCTTTGCCCTTACCTAGCCCTCAACACGTCACTTAATTTCTCTAACCCAGAATTTGCTATTCTGTAAAATGGGCATAACAACACATGTGGGCAGCTAGGTGGCATTGCAGTGGATAAAGCACTGGGCCTGGAGTCAGGAAGACCTGAGTTCAAATGCAGCCTCAGACACTTATTAGCTGGACAAGTCACAATCTTTGCCTGCCTCAGTTTCTTCCTCTGTAAAATGGGGCTAATCATAGCACCTACCCCCCGGGGTTATTGTGAGGATCAAATGAGATAATATTTGTAAAGTGTTCTTAGCACAGTATCTACATAAGCACATAGTAGGTGCTTAATCAGTGCCTGTTCCCTCCCCCTTCCCCACCTTTGATGCTCGGCTCTGGGGCCTGTGACTCTTACCTGCCTTTGTAAGGTGCTTAGCAGTGTCTGGCACATAGTAAGCACTATATAAATGTTAGCCATCATTATTATTTATACTTTTATCAAACAGGATTGGTATAGCATATAAAGTTAGCTATTATAATTATTATTACCACTGGCACTTAATATTAAGGGATGAGGCCTGGACCTGTGATCTCATTGGTACATAGAACTCCCATCAGCAATGTAGACTGCAATCTTCTTGGCAACTGCCAGAGATGCCCAGGGCCCTGGGAGGTTTATTTATTTCCATAATAGATTTGGCTCTTCCTAGAAATCATAAGATTTAGAGCTGGAAGGGACCTCATTATCTTTTAGGCCAATGCCCACATTTTACGGATGGGGAAATTAAAGTTCACGGAGAAGGGGCCTGAACTCCAACCTCCCCAATTCCAAGGGAAGCCCTATATACACGCCTTCCTCCAGGCTGCCATTTTTTTTTTTTTTTGGCTAGGTAATTGGGGTTAAGTGACTTGCCCGGGGTCACACAGTTACTAAGTGTCAAGGGTCTCAGACCGGATTTGAACTCAGGTCCTTCTGACTCCAGGGCCGGTGCTCTATCCACTGCGCCACCTAGCTGCCATTTTTGATGCAAAGAGCTTTACTACATGATATTATTTGGGCCTTATAACAACCCTGTAACGTCCAGGAATTATTAGCACTATTTCCCATCTTACAGAAGGTGAAAATGCCTCTCAGAGGTCAGGTACCTTGCCCAGAGCCATATAGCTAGTAATTCACAAAGCAAGAACTGAGAAGCAGTATGGTATAGTGGCAAGAGGGCTGGATTTGCGATGAGAGGACCCGAGTTCAAATTCCAGCTCTGCCATTTACCACTCATGTGACTGTGGGTAAGCTGTTTTAATATCTGGACCAGTTTATCTTCACTGGCCCTCTGTAAAATGAGGGCGATGAACTAGATGATCTCTGAGGTCCCTTTGACCTCTAAATCTGTGATTCTTGACCCTGCCTTTACATACCATAGTCTGCTGGCTCTAAATCTAGTGCCTGCCTCACTATCATTGAATGCAAGCCCATTTGGGTGGGGAGTAGGGAGCAAGTCAAAATGAGCCCCCAAAGTCATTCTCCTGTCTCAGAGATGTGCCCATTTATACATTAGGACCCCGGATGACACAAGGTCATGAGCTTACCACAGACACTTTGTTGATAACATCTCTTGCAACGGCCAGACCTTGGGCAAATGTTCGGGCGGCGACAAAGGCCCGAGTCACCTGTAACTTGAGTTTCCGTGGCACATCGCCGAAGGGCTTCAGCTGTTCTGTGTACTTGCTCACACACTCCAAGTACTCATCTGTAAAATGGTGCTGGGGATTCACGAGGCGAAACATGCGCTCCAGAAGGCGGGCCCAGAAGTCATTAAGCATTTCTTCCAGATTCACGTTGCCCCCCACATAGTACCGCTTCAATTCCACAAAGAGATCTTTAAAGAGCTCAGAATTTTGCATGTATAAACGGCCGTAGGTCCGCACAAACATGTCATTCAAGGATTTCTCGGCATTTTCAAGCAGCTCTTTGAAGAATTCTAAAAGGGAAAAGAAAAAAAATGGGATTTTTAGATCACAAGAACACATATTTTAGAACTGGAAGGGACCTCAGATCAAGTTCAACTCTATTTGACAGAGGAGAGAACTGAGGGTGGAGAAATTAATTGACTTGAGGTCATGCAGGTATTAAGTAGACTAGCAGAGCCATTTCTTAAAACAACTCTGTGAGGCAGGTATCCCATTATCATCCCCATTTTACAGATGGGGAGAGGGAAACTGATCCAGGGGACTGTATGTTGGATTTCAGAGTCAGGAGGACTTCCATTCAGATTCTACCTCAAACAATTATGAGTGACCCTGGGCAAATCACCTAACTTGTCTGACCCAGAATGTCCTCATCTAAGAAGTGGGGATAATAATAACACCTCACTTGCTAAGGTTGTCATGAGGCTCGGACAAGATAACGAATGTAAAATATCCGGCTGACCTTAGAGCTCTATAGAAATGTCAATCGTTATTATTAAGCTATTAACCTTGCTGACCCTCAGAGACTGCATTTGTTTGCATTTGACCATGTATGTGTGCACACACACAATGTCTCCCTGATGGAATATTTCATTTTTGTCTCTGTATTCTGAGCTCTTAGCATAAGGCCGGAATATAGTAGATCCTTAATAAGTGTTGGTTAATTGACTCTAAGTTGCTTTGTAATGACATTTTTTTTTCAATTATCAAGCATTTTTTTCCTCTCCTTCCCCCCTCCACCCTCTGAAAAGTTTATAGACAGGTCTTCACTGATAGGGGTTCCCATACCAACAAAATGGTAGGTCATCATCAAAGACCTGAAGGTGAGGAAAGTGAGGCAAGTTTCCACAAGTATCAGGTAGAATTTCAGTTCCTTCTGACTCCAAATCCAGTCCCATTTCAATACCCTGCCCCCCCCCCCCCCCCCCAAAAAAGAGAAAACATACAAGCTAGGCCAGGAGGCCTAACAAGGCAAGCTACATGAATTACTCTTTAAAAATCAAATGAAAAACGATTTAAAATATTCTTAACACCAAAAAGCCAAGTATTTCTATATCCATTAAAGACTAGACAAAGACTATATGTGAAACTGTTTCATCTAGCCTGTTTTTTTTTAAAGTACACATAGATTATAGAATATTTTCTTCTATAAAAAGGAATACCTTGTTGCCAAATTTCTAAGTAGGAATCTAATCACTCAACCAAATAGAGCAGTTGAACCAAGTCAGAATTGGACTCTTTAATGACTTTGGTGCAGGGAAACACATATGGAACTAACACTAAATATGGATGAAAGGAATGTTTCTAACAGTTGCATTTCTTTCAAACCTATTTTTATCTCAAACTGGGAAGGAAAGAGAACAAAATAAAACTTTGCTAAAAGCTTTTCCAAAAGGTTTCAAAACTGAGCTTCCTGGAGAGAAGGGACTGTGTGTATTTATGCGGAGGAAGAGATATGGTAGATGTTAAGCTCTACACAGACTCAGCAAACTGCCTAGCTAATCTGCAGATGGGCCAGACAGGTAATTTCAATAGCCTGGGGTGTTCCTGGTTTAGGTATTCCCTTCAGTGCTTGCAGAGCTGCAGCTCAGCTCTAACTTATGGTTAGCTGCCTACAGCACTAGATGTTAAGGAATCTACCCAGGATCTCCTGTCTTCCTGACAAGATCAGTCCTCTTACTCTTCCACACTGTCTCCCATAGGCTCTAATGTATATTTCAATATTTATGTTCCTACACAAATCAGAATTCTTGAACATTTTACTATTTGTAAATAGTCTTAAAACAAACAAACAAACAAACGCTACCACCATTAACAAAAAATGGGAGGTGGGCTGGTTTAGAGGGAAAGAAGCCCTGGCCTTGGGGTCAAATCGCCAGCCATTTCAAATCTCTATTGTGCCATTTGCTAGGTGTTTGATTGTAGTCAAGTTATTTCCTGACTCTGGGCCTCAGTTTCACTCATATGTCAAATGAGGATAATAATGCCTATTTCCCAACTCACAGGGTAGTCATGAAGAAAACACTCAATAAACCTTCAAGTGCTTGAGAGAGATTATATATAGAGAAAGAGATGTATTCTCAGAGATAACATATCCCTCTCTCAAGCACTTTAAAGTTTACAGTTTTTCTTCATTGCTACCCTGAGTTGGGAAACATAGATAATATCTGGCTATATAGACAGAGAGATAGATAACATGTCTATATAATCTGTCTGTCTGTCTGTCTGTCTGTCTGTCTGTCTATCTATCTATCTATCTATCATCTGCAATTGAGCCAGAACCATCTTAGCCAACTACAATGTAGTAAGCCTAACTATGGAATTAAAGCATGAGTTTCTGTCTTTGACAGTAACACTGCCCTGAATGCAAACTGTCAGGATATGCTGGACAATGAATCAGATTCTGGCCATCATATATGCAAATCAATTTAGGATCAAAATATTTAGTGCTAGAAAAGACCATAGAGATTATCTAGGCAAGGGGTTCTTAAGTTAGAGTCTGTGGCTAGATTTCAGGAGATCCATAAACATGGAAGGGAAAAAAAATACATCTTCACTAACCTCTAACCAAAAGTCAGCCTTTCCTTTCAATCATGAATTGTTTAAAAAAAGATATTCTGAAAAGAAAGTTATAGGTTTCACTAGACTGCCAAAGAAGTCCATGACATAATAAAGGGGAAGAAGCCGTGCTCTAGACGTAAGGTGTCAAACATCACAGGCCACATGTAGCCTACAATATTCCCAAGGGTCATGGCCCCTGTTTGGATTTCAGTTTGATACAATTGGTGTAGATCAAGCTACTCATTTTACAGAGAACAAAATTGAGGTCCAAATACAGGAGGTGACTTGCTCAGAATCACGCACCTAATAAGGTACAGAGTTGGGATTCAAAACCCAGTAGCTGATCTCCAGGCCCATTAACAAGATCATGGGATTTCAAGCTGTAAAGGGCCTTAGAGATTACTCTATTTCAATCCATTTGTTTTGCACACAAGGAAAGTGAAGTTGAGAGAAAGGGCAGTGACCTACCCCAAGTAACACCAGTAGTAAGTGGCAGAGCCGAGATTTAAACGTAATCTTCTTTTTGCCACACCATGCATTCTCCACTCTGACTCAACGATCATGAAATTACATGATGACTGTAGAGTATGGACTGAATTACACTGGTGACTCACACCATGCAAAAGACAACAAAGAGTCACCATGTTGGCTAATGGTTAACATCCTTCCCTGGGTCTTACTTTTGCTCCTGTCTTCCTTATCTTTTGGCTCTCCTTCCTCTGCGCAGTAGCTGAACTCCAGTAATCAAAGACACTCACACAGCCATCAGGCACTGTCCAGTTTGATCCTCTCTGCTACCCTGTGTATAGGGGAATGATTAATATCCCTATTTTACAGATGGGGCAAGAGAGGCTCAGAGAAATTTGTTGTTGTTCAGTCATTTCAGTCATGTCTGACTCTTCATGACCCCATTTAGGATTTTCTTGGCAAAGATCCTGGAGGGGTTTGCCATTTCCTTCTGCAGCTCATTTGACAGAGGAGGAAACTGAGGTAAACAGAATGAAGTGACTTGCCCAGGGTCACACATCTAGTAAGTGTCTGAGGCCAGATTTGAACTCAAGAAGATGAGTCTTCCTGACTTCAGACTCGTCAGGCACTCCATCCCTGCAACACCACCTACCCGTCCTCAGAAAGATTAAGTGATGTTTTTAAGGTCACTGGAAAATGATCCTAGTGGTTTTTTTTTTTTCCACTCTACAACCACAGCATACTGTTAGTAAATTTCAGGAAACTTATCCTCTAATATAGCCCACTAGACATTCAGAAATCTGACCTGTGCTCTCGTGACTCACACTTAATTAATAATTTGCCTGTTCTTAATTCTCTAGAGAGTAATGCTCAGAGTTTCACTTTTTTTTTCCAGGGGAAATGGGGCGAGGAGGGGGGTTACCCTGGCCGACGTGGAATTTAAACCTTGTTAAGATGTTCAAAGTGAATCAGAGTTCAAATTGTGAGCTTCAAAGTACTCCCGCCCAAACAAAGGACTTCACTTATACGTGGAAGACTTAATGGTAAGAGTGAAAGCAAATTCTTGGAGTTCCTCGGACCTCAGAGGTTGACAGAGCTATATGAAATGTGGCCTCTTAGGAGAGTGAGAGATGATACAGTGGAGAGGAGACTGGCTTTGAATTCCAATGTGTCCTCTGTCCAATCTCAGTGCAGACCTCAAGGTTCATTCCCATGCCTGGTATTTCCTGTCTAAGAAGGTTTTTGTTTTTGTTTTTCTTTTCAAAACTTAGGTTATACTTTGGAGATGAGTTTAGTATTATGTATTAATTTCTAATTCACTTAATCATTCTGAAAGCTTACTTCCTTTCCTTTAATGTGATAGCCAAATAGCTGCACACTTAAATGTTATTTGAGTGGGCACATGGCTAATAAAGGCTTGGGAAATTCTAGCTCATGCTGTTTGGTGACCCCAAAGCTTTGGCAAGATTTTAAATTTTTGAGCTGGAACAGACGTAAAAGCTCACAGGCTCATAGCTCTAGAGCTGAAAGATACGTTAGAGGGCCTTCTTGTCCAATTCCCTAATTTTACAGAGGATTAACCAAGGCTGAGGGAGGGGGAAGTGACTTGCCCAGGATCACACAGGCACAAAGTGTCAGAGGTAGAATTTGAACCCAGAAACCTTCTCATTGCAAATCCTATGGCAAGCTTTCCTCTGCAGCAGTTCAAAGGACAGAATTTTAGCCTTCCACCCTCCAAACTATTCACCAAACACTCCCCCCCCCGACCAGTTACTGGGCACCTCCATGGGCAGCAGGACTTTAGGCCTGGCTCTTGAGGAAGACTCCCAAGACGAAAAGCCCTCACAGAACCAGCCTAGGTCAATTGTGGCAAGGCCAACTGTCCCTAGGACTGGCCTGCTTGTCTTCAAGCCGTGCATTAGGAAAGCTGCCAGCACATGCAGACGCCAGGGATTTTCCTCATGGTCCATCAGAGTCACTGGCT